ATGCTTTCATGCTTAGTTGTACCTTTCTTATGGAGGTAATATGCATCCCTTTCTTATGGAGGTAATATGCATCCATTGACTAAGTAAGGCTATTCCCAAAGGCATATTTTCAAAAGTATGATTTATGTATTGATTTGCAAATTAAGCAATGATGTTGCAGATCAATGGGAGTTTGAGTTTTGCCTTACAATTGCAGATGACCTATAAGGTATGTATAGAATCCATGTATTCAATTTAATCTCCAGTTGGATTCATTAAGTCACATTTTTTGTGTGCTAGTCAATTATCTGATGAAATATATATCAGATATCAAGTTGTTATCCAATTGCATATTAAATGGCATGGCATGGTTTGTGCACTACCTCAGTTGTGAGGATTTCCATCTTGCCTGCAGGTGTTGGAAATCATTATGAAAGTAACTGGTATGGTACATAGATCAGTGTCAAAAACATATTAATTCATCTTGCTCACAAGTGTTGAATTAATTTGTTTTATGAAGTTTTTTGGGATATTTTACTTGGACATGTGCCTATTTGGTATTTTCAGTTGTGTCCGTTGGCTACAAACATTGTTTGTATTATTATTGATCTAATGAAAGTGATGCATGATTGTTTTGGAGATGTATTCACACCTGCAGATTATGGTGGTTTCATTAGATGAAGGATATCTGCATTGGTAGATTTAAGGCTTCGAAGAAGCATAAAGTGTAACTTGTGAGTTACAATAAGGTGGACCTGAGATGATATAAAGTAAGACATTTTGGTTAATTTAAAGTTTAATTTTAAAGTTTCATCTCTTGATCATAATTTGTGTTTCATGTAAATGAGGATCTTAGCATGTGTGATTATGAAGGTTCTGGGTTGTGTCAACTCTACAACCTTGTTAGTTCCATGTTAAGAAATGCATTTGACAGAAGCTGCATTAAGGCCGAGATGTAATCACTGTTACATGGCCACTAAAGTGACATTAGTCTCCAATCTCAAGTATAAACATGAATATTACATTTTGTAGACCAAATGGGAGAATGTTGGATTTATCCAATATAAATCAACCTTTAAGTGATCTACTATATGTAATAGGAATGTAATATTGGAGAATAATGTTAATTGTGATTTGATCTCTTAAAGATATCAATCCTATATAAGGTGTCTTATATTGGAAATAGGATTGATGGAATCCTTAATAATATATGATTATGATATTTTACTTGAGAGCCAAGAAAGGAGAGTTTTAGTTTTCCCTTATGGACGGAATCTAAGACTTTTTGGCTAGTATATAAACACCGGTCCCTGCTAACCCTAGACACGACAACTAAGGCTTCCCATAGAGCATCGTCATAAAGCTAGGAGTTTACAGAAGAGTTGGTGTTTCTGTTTGTCACGGCAAACATAAAGATTGGAGTTTATCGATGACGTCTTGCTTGCATGGCTACTGCAACTTCGGTAACTACCATTGGAATCAGGTCAGTCACTCTTCGTTTGTGTTTTAATTGTATAACCTTATAAGGCTAACAATACAAGCTTAAGCACTCATAGCTAGAGGTTTACCACGTCTAGTAAATATCTATATATATGTTCTGGAATGAGTAATGTTACACTTATCATATTTTCATACCATATTTGTGTCACCTCTCTAATAGAGATGACCCACCAACATGCGGATCTCATCTATATTAGAGAGGCGGTACAAATACTGTATAGAAAATGTGATAAGAGTAACATTATTGTTCTAAAATTTATCAATATACAAGGTGTTACTATGAAGATCATCAAGAAGTATTTGGAGTTAAGGTATTAAGAAAAGGAAAGAAGTAGCCAAGTCAAAGGCATGATAAGGGCACTCCACCGGTAATTATTAAAGCTTTGAGTTTAATTTAGTACAACAAATATTACTACATATAAAATTTTGAACACAAACCACTAGCTTTAGCATGAAGATAGGCACATGAGATGATAATCAATGGGCATCTGTGAGATATAGGAGTTGCATGTAGCACCTAAGAATGAGAGAAAATATTGAATAAAGTTATCTGGGAAAGTAACTCGTCTACATTGGTGATATGCAACGCAATTTTATTGAAATGATAAGAAATTATATCTATGGTACTTTAAAGCTAGGAAGATACTCGAAAGAACAATATGACCTTACATAATATTTGAAAAAGACAGTATAGCATGACAACCATATTAGATAAATGAGTTAGATACGAAAAAAAAATACATTTTTGGAGTTCTTCCTAGTTAATGTGACGGTAACATGGACATGTATTGAAATCAATCACCTATATTTTATCTTACAGGATAAATCCATTATGGTTCTAACCCAACCCTAAGGTAACCTATAGCAAACAAAAATGATTTTTCCTTGTTTAAGTATAGTAATTGCTTTATTAGGGTATAAGTTGCAATTCAGAAATAGCTTTGTAAAAATTACATAAGTGTTAGGGTAATTAGTTACATTTTTGGCTTTCATGGACATATCATTAACCTTCCCAACTCTTTCTAAACCTAGAAGGTTAGTTTTTTTTTTCATTTAGTAATTCTTATATGTTGGTGATATGACATCCACTTAGATCATGTGGTCAATCATAACGTCTACGTAGCAAAAACTAGGCATCCCCCTAAGTGTCACGTAAAAAAAAATTAAGGTTAACTTGATAGTTATAGGTTGATAGAGGGAGACCAATGATACGCAGATTAGTGACTTTAGGGCTATTTTTGTCAACAACAATGCCAATTGCAGTTCACCTATTGATAACCATTTTATTTTTAACTTTTAGTTATACTTTTGTGATTGAGATACAGAAAAGTATATATGGTAGAAACTAGAAATGAGGGTGAAGAGGATGTAGGGATGGGCAACAGTTATGGTGGGCGGGTAACCACGATTATTTATCCATAACTGTTTATGCTCATATCCGAATAACCGTTTACCCGTTGGGTATTTGCCTAAACGGTCATACCCATACCCATAACCGTTTATAAATGGTTAACCATACTCATAACCGCGTACTCATTTAACAGTAACCGTTTAGTACCCGTTTACCCATTTACCCTTTTAAACTCGTTTATCCTTTCTTTTTTACCATTTACCTATTTTTCATTGGTCTTGTTTTTTCAACAACTTGAAAATTCAAAAAAAAAAAAATTGTCATTTGACAATCGAGGAGTCTACATATTTTTTCAACACAAATATAATATGTTTATATTTGTTCTACTTTGCTGCAAAAAATCTCATCTGACTGTTATGTTGGCATATGGATCTAATGGATCATACCAATCTGCATCATATATTAATGTCACCAAAATTTGAACAACTGATTTAAACAAAAATCTTAGAGAGAGAGAGAGAGAGAGAGAGAGAGAGAGAGAGAGGGAGAGATAGCTTGTTGCTTACATGATAATCCGAAGGACATGATGAGAGAGAAGATGAAAAGCAAGAGCAGGTTCATCTTTTCTTCAAATTAAAAATTTTCAATTGCAATGCACTAGCATATATCCAAACACATGCAATGAGATGATATTCTCAAACTGGGACAGAGATCCCAGCTGGATCTCCCCCACCAAATCCTAAAGATCCGAAGATCCGAACTATTGAAATTTGATCCAACGGCTACAAGTCCCTCAAAATGTGCTAAGTCTATATTATATTAACTACATAAACCATGCATTATAGTCAATAACATTGATTTAAGTTTTGTCTGATAGGAACATAGTTTGTGTTAACTTTACATATATAAAATAAACAGGTAAATGGTTATCTGTTTATAACCGTGGTTAATACCCATAACCATACATTTAAATTTCACGGGTAAACGATAACCGTTTATTTATCTAAACGGTTACACATAACCATAACCGTGAAATTTAAATGAGCAGGTAACCGCGGTTACCCATAACCAATTGGTATTTGCCCATCCCTATGAGGATGGTTGAAGGGACGGAACATAATAAAGAAGAAAAAATGAAAGAAAAATCTTCAAAGTAACATTATCTTGAAATGGATTTTGGTTTTCATTTTGTATCTTGTCTAGTACATTTCTTCTACATCTCTCCTCCTCCATTATTCTCTATATTACCCCCATTTTTTGCATACATATCTCATTTATCTCTAACACATTTAAAAACCAAGAACTAAAAATGAGCTGATTTTCAAATAATCCCTAAGTCTACATCTTGTCAATGCCCTTGGAAACGCTTTCTAAGAAAACAACCTATAACAAAGAAAACACTTTTAATTAATTCTCCCAAAGCCAATGAAATACTAATTTAAGTATGTGAAACGTTTTCACTTCTAAAAATACTTTAAGACAAACCCTGAAACTATTGTGTATCTCATTTAGTAATGAACAAAAATAATAGTGTTTGATAATCATTTGTATTAGTTTCGAGTTTTCATTCTTATGCTAGAAAGATAGATAAGAAATATATATAGGGGAGAAATGAGGGATACGTATTGTGGAGGAATGATGGTGGGAGAAATGTAGAAGAAAATGTGCATAAAATGAAAATTACGTACAACAAAAAACTATTTTAAGTTGTTTTCACTTTTAAGATGTTTTCTTTCATTATTCTTTATTTCATCCCCTTCCTCCTACCACCCTTCTTCATCCTTATTTCCCCCCTACAGATTGCTTATATCTAAAGCACAAGAAGTGAAAACTAAAAACTATACAGTTATCAAACAGATCTTAAGATTTTGGCCAATATGTAGAACATAATGTACTCATGAAAAGGGAAAACACAGAAAAGGGAAAACTTGGGATTCATAGTAACCAATTTCGTCACGACTGGATACCCATGTGAATAATCCTCTCCTTCTTGATTGCCAACATTCATATTCCTTAATATCTGTTACCCTGAACAGTGGCATAAAAATCAATGTTAATGTAAACTTTTTCCTTTAGACGATATTATTTGCCTTTGACCTTTGCATCATCTTTCTTTAGAGTCCTCATCATGAATCAGCTGATTACTGTGTCATATCCTTATTTCCACCAGCATGAAGTCGGTGATAGAGAGATACAATAGATCAAAGGAGGAACATCAGCAACTTCTTTACCCAGCTTCAGAAGTGAAGGTCTTCTCCATCTACCTCTCGCTCATTTTTCTCTGCATTAACTATATTGGAGCATATCATATGAAATCTTAACTACATTGGAGTTTATTAATTGCAAGAGTTGGATTTCTTCTTCTTTCTTCCCCACGTTATTTGAGTTTAAAATAGATATTAGGGTTTGTTGATGCACAAAACCGGAAGGTCTTGGAACAACGTAAATTCGACCGTGAATCATGCAAACGCCCTAGAATACAAAGATGTATCGTGGTTCACCTCAATGTTTTGATTACGTCCACACTGATGTTGATTATATTCCTCTGTAACTGTATGTATGGATTACAAAGTGTTGTTGTGTTTATGAGGGTATTGCCCTCTGTTGGGTTCACAGAGAAAGAGAGTTGAGAGAGTTTCTGTGTTTGTAGGAGGGTTGCTCTAAATATGAGAGCCTCTGAATGTGAGTCTTGAGGATTGTGAGGGTGAGGAGGCCCTTTTGTAGACTAAGGGCTCCTCCCCTTTTACATAAATCATGAGCTCAATGTCAGGAAGCCCAAGTAACGAGGCCCAATATAATATGGTACCAACAGTAGTCCCCCAAGTCTTCAGTCAAGAGAGTCTTTTGGCTAGAGACTTCAAATCCAATCCATGTACGGGCCGAAGTGGCTAGATATCTTGAACCAATACTCAACACAAGGCAATGCTCAACATAAAGCAATACTCGGCTAGAGGTATCACACGTTACGAGACTGCTCGGCTGAAGACGATGCTCGTTATGAGGTTGCTCGGCTAGAGGCTATGCTCGCGGCGAGGCGTTTGCTCGGCTGGAGGCGATGCTCATTGCGAGGCGGCTCGGCTAGAGGCTATGCTATTTGTGAGGCGGTTCGGCTCGTGATATTCCTCATTGCAAGTATCTACTTTATGTCGACATGCACTCAGTGTGAATTGATTCTCGACCTGACTCGGGTCCTCTTGTCGGGTTAACATATTGGGTTCTTTTAATCAGCAACAATGTTGATCAGTGGATCTAGTTGCTCAATAATTCCTAACAATAAATGACAGTATAAGTATGACCGTATAATGAATAAATCAAATTGATAAAGTTTGTCAAGGCAAAGTATTGTACTATATGCCTTCTATAAATAATTTATTCGGTTGTGTGGTAAATCACATGTTGTATAAGTGACATAGTTTAATGGCAGTCACAATATTCTAGGCTATGAATAAATATTGCACATGTACTTAGGTTAAATATATGTCACTAGGCAACATGTTAACAAATATCATAAAATAACAATAATAAAATATTAGATAGGTAATAATATTAAGAAAACGTAATGATGTGAAAAAGTAAAGCTCTTTTCTTTTTCCTTTTGGCAGATGGCAGACAATATCAGAAATAATAATAGAATTTTTATAAGAAAGGAATCTTATCTCCGCTTTTCCCATGGCTTTTTCAGAAAATGAGCATGGGGGAACATGCACTCCTCTTTATGATGAAAGTTTCATCCTTTTTTCAAAAGTTGGTGGGCATTTTCTCGATGCTCTTTGATGCTTTTCATTTTCAAATACTGAGGACGACAAGCTCGACAACATCAATAACGGCTAGATCGGAGCGAGTATCTTGTTCTGTGCTTGCCACTTCTGTATGCTAGTATACCAACTCCACTGCTCTAGGACACATCATAGATCTTACCCTTGATAGCCATGAAAGAGACAGGAAAGAGAAAAAACCTTTGCAAATGTATATGGAGATGGTATTGCTGGTCCAGATGTGAAGACCATGATCCTGGAACCTGTGCTCCCTAAACATCCTTCCAGAAGTCCAAGTGCAGCTGATATTGCTGCTCCAGTACACCTTTGCGGACGATGACCGAGCTTGACTTGAACTGAATAATGGGTCTCTTCAATTGCAGTTGTGATGTTGAACTCACATTCAGAAACAGGTAACAATTGAACTCGTACACGCCCGGTGAAAAATGTGCTTGTAATTCGTCAAACACCTGATCTCGTCATCCACCTCGAACTCGTACAGGTAGACAGCGCAACTCTTCCCAGGGTCCCCACCGACGTCGCGAAAATTTATGACGGGGAGAAATTCCTTGATCAGGAGCGCCGACGTGGATGGGTTTTCCAGTAGGTGGGACTCGGACTCAGGCCAAACGATGTCGTCGGATTCGAGAAATTCGGAGAGACCCAAAAAATGGAAGAGCGAGAAAATAAGGCTTCGTATGAAGCCGAGGAAAGAGAGTGTGTGGAGGAAGATGTTGGGGAAGACGAAGACCTCTGTGTATCCCACTGGGAAGCCCATGGAGGCGCTTTAGAAAGAGAAAGGGAGAGGACGCGGGTGTTGTTCTTAGAGAGAGAAAAGTATTTTCTGGAAAAGCCCAAAGAAGGACGTTTTGAGTTCTTGGGTTGTTGCCGATTCACGGTGGATATTATGGTGAGATTTCACGGTGGTGAGATGAACAAAAAATGAAAGAGAACCGACATAGCTTTTCGTGTCGTTTCCCACAGACGGCGCTAAATGTTGATGCACAAAACCGGAAGGTCTTGGAACAACATAAATCCGACCGTGAATCATGCAAACGCCCAAAAACACAAAGATGTATTGTGGTTCACCCCAATGTTTGGGCTATGTCCACACTGATGTTGATTGTATTCCTCTGTAACTGTATGTATGGATTACAAAGTGTTGTTGTGTTTGTGAGGGTATTGCCCTCTATTGGGTTCATAGAGGAAGAGAGTTGAGAGAGTTTCTGTGTTTGTAGGAGGGTTGCTCTGAATATGAGAGCCTCTGTTTAGGGAAATGAGGTCTCTGAATGTGAGTCTTGAGGATTGTGAGGAGGCCCTTTTATAGACTAAGGGCTCTTCCCCTTTTACATAAATCATAGGCTCAATGTCTGGAAGCCCAAGTAACGAGGCCCAATATAATATGGTACCAATAGGGTTCATGAAGAGCACGATGGTAGGATGGACATGGATTTCATTGCTAAACTCTGTACATAGAAACCCTAAACCCTAAATCTGTATATATCTGTGTATCTGCTTCAACCTGTAGAAAGTAGCATAAAAAAAAAAAAGGTCGTACCCAGTGCACAAAGCTCCCGCTTTACGCAGGGTCTGGGAGAGGTGAATGTCGGCTAACCTTACCCCCATTTATAGAGAGGATGCTCCCAAGTCTTGAACCCGAGACCTACCGCTCATGGGCGAAGGCACTTGCCATCGCACCAAGTAGCATGCATAAGTGAAATACATGATAAACCAAGTTATGTTTCCAAGTATTTAACCAAATAATTTCGGCTTTGCCTTTCAGCTTCTAGGCATAAAACTTATACCTAGGCATTCAGTTACAACTTATGCGTCTCAAGCATTGTTTGGTTTTGGAATAAAATATCCAACTACCCGCTGTTGCTTGTACCATTGGTACAGATTAAGAACAAATAATTATTACAATAATATTCTCTGGTCCTGCTTTGTCAAGTCAAACGAACTATTTTTTAAAGGAGTTATTTTTTAACCATCATAAGGAAAGCTTACTTCACAACACCATCAGGCAAAACTAAACATGCATACAACTTCCTTGGCATTGATCAAGCATGTTAGTTGAAACAGATTCTGATATATCATAAGAAGATACTTCGGTTCCTAACTAACATATATATAGGGACACACGATGCTTACATATTTTTTAATGGAGTTATTTTTTAACCATCATAAGGAAAGCTTACTTCACAACACCATCAGGCAAAACTAAACATGCATACAACTTCCTTGCAACTGATCAAGCATGTTAGTTGAAACAGATTCTGATATATCATAAGAAGATACTTCGGTTCCTAACTAACATATATATAGGGACACACGATGCTTACTTAAGTTGAACCTACTCTTCCATCATTTACCATATATAGGATGTTTTCAGCTGCCAAGAGATGTGAACTGGACATGTTATAATCTTCCAAACAAAGTCCTGTTGATGGGATGATGAACTTGTATAACTCCATTATAAGATAGTTCGTTTGTCTTGACTCAGAAGTACTACTAGAATATGTTGAACTAAACCAAATTGTACACATACCGCAAGAAACTACTTTTCTTTGACAAACCAGAGTTTATATATGTATTTATATAATCACAAGTTTCCAACATGTTATCGAAAAAGACTTTTTCTGATCCATTTCTCAAATGTTGCATGCATTTTACTGTTTTGTTATTGTGTACTTGCTAGTTTTGGCAAAGCGAGGTAGCCAACTTAAGGCAACAACTACAGAACTTGAAAGAAAATCATCGGTACGATCTTTCTCCTTCAGTTAGAATTCAACAATTTTATTTGAAAGCACACGCACAAATAACGATGGATGCATCTAATGTTACCATCTCATGGATAGTACTGTCATAAGAAGATGCTTCATAGAATTCTTACAATGTCCTAATTCGATATCTAATTATTTAGGTTTAGGGTGGATGCGAGCCACTTAAAAACAATGTACTATACACTGATTTATGGTAGAAGAACTCCAAACACTGATCATCGACTTATCGTTCCTCATTATCATAGAACAGGCAATTCATGGGAGAACAACTTTGTGGTTTAAGTGTCAAAGAACTACAAGGTCTAGAAAGTCAATTGGAAATGAGTCTGCAGGGAACTCGAACGAAAAAGGTTAGCTGAAATGAATGATTTGATTTGTGTATAATCTAATTTCATGCTGTAATTTTTTTTATTTTAGTAGAATTTTGACAAGTATCAATCATCTAAATTCTTGCAGGAACAAATATTAACTTATGAAATAGAAGAGAAAAATCAAAAGGTAATTAGTCGATCGTCATTCCATCTTACACATTACTACTAAGAGTTAGTTCACTCGCCATAACAATTTTTTCTTTGTTTGTTCCATGCAGCGTAATGTCATCCATCAACAAAATATGGAACTGTACAAGAAGGTGAATCTCTTTTGCCAAAAAAAAAAATTGAAATTACTCAAGAAGGTATTCTGATTCAATATTTAACTACAATAAGAACTTAAAAAAAGAAATCAATCATAATCCATAATTACCTTATTTGGCAACGTAAAGTCAGAAATTAGCAATAATAAAGTTCATGTGGAACAGGTTTATGGCACAAGTGCTGTGAATTCAAAAAATAACATGTCCCTATACACCTTCAACTAAGCCAGCTCAACCAACAAATATAACAGACGTCAACAAGACCAAGCAAATAAATAGCAGTAAATTTTTCTTCACATTCATTTATCAGAAAAGAAAAGTTTTTTTTTTTCTGATAAGATTAGAAAATTTGATGTTAGGAAACATTTTCACCTCAACTTTCATCTAAAATGTACATGTTATAATGCAGAAATATATACTTCAAGGAAGTGCCTGGATCATGGACAAGTGTCAATTGACTTTCTCTAAACAAGATGCCTTATACTCCATGCATCTAAAATGTAAAAGTTAGTTTTTGCTAAGTTCTTTTTGGGCCCTGAATTTGTGGGCTTGCCTATTTTTCCGGCCTGGTGGACTTTCATGTTACGGCCGTTGTCCTTTTTTTTTCCTTCTCGGGCTTTTTGGTGTTACTTGTGTGCTTGCCAGACCGGCAAACTTTCTTTGACAGACACATAGAGAATAAAAAGAAATTATTTTGTGTGCTTGGAAATGTTTAATTAGTACTAAGTATGAACTAAACATTGTTACAGTTGTGAAGGTGCTCCAAAATGCATGAGCATTGTTTTTCGGCCATATCACAATTCATAAATGGTTTCGTCCCTAACATTTCAATTCGATTAATGCCATCCTCCAAATTTGTTCTGGCATAACAACTTCGTAATTATCAACCAAATTTGTTATCGCACTAAGTATACTAATCAAAACATAAATGTAAAAAATAAAATACCATTAAAAGTTAAAGAGTAAATTGCTGATTTAGTTTTTAAACTAAAATTATTATCCAAGAAAAATTAAGCTTTTAAACTCATGTAAAATTTTCAATCTCATCCTACTATTATATTTGAAGTTATTTTATCCAATATTCAATGCATCCATACATACTTAAGAAGCCCCTTTTTAAGAGTGCTAGCAAACTCCTCAATTACCTTCTCATTTCAATATTTTCGTTTTTACTATGCATTCCACTAGCACGTGAAACAAAAAATCTGAAAAGAAAAATAGTGGACTTTTATATAATAAAATTTTAGTTTTGAGTGGCACAATGAAAAGTGAGAAAGCTGAAATAAGAAGGTAAGTAAGAGTCTCTCCAAAAGAGTCCATAATGTGACTATTTAAATACAAATTTGTTAACCAACACGACAATTTGTATACTAAAATTTGATATTTTACCATTTTACACTCTAATGAAAGAAACCAGTTTGTTTTTTAAGGAAAAAGTTGATAGTAACAGTTTTTTAATAATAGATAAAAATGTGTGAAGAGTGGATTAAAAAGCCTATAGGGAGAGTATTATAAGTTCTAAATTTGAATGGATTCTTGGAATGACCTTAAAATATGAAGGTCAACACATTTTCTGGTTGTCAATAATTAGTTTGAGTAGAAAATATGTGGTCAAGCTCCATATACAAATCTATATAGTTAATTTTTCGAACTAAAATTAGAAAAATATGATCTCCCGTTTTTTGGATTAGTTAAATGACCTCAAATTCTTAATATTAAGGTTAAAATATTGATTGTACGAAGAAGGCGCAAGTAGGATTTCAAAATGTATTCATGGGGAATTAATGGAAAAACTCCCTACTTTCTAAACCCAAAAAAAAGGGCCCATTTTCAAACCTTTCAATGATGAAAATTCAGAATATTTTGACAAAAATATGAAGCTTCTTTTATTTCTAACAGCAAAAAGAACAACCAACAAAGAAAATAAGAAAAATTTGTAAATTGAAGAAAGTAAGAGAAAGAGAGAGAGTAAAAAATCTAGTGTGGAAGGGCTGCTCATAGAAACCAAGATTAGTACTCCGTTTGCACATTGAATTCATACAAATAATACAACCTTAAAAAAATTCTTCGAATTTTATACAGAAAACAAAAATAAATAAATAAAACACTCTTTCTATGAATCCGAACGAAGGGGTAAGAGAAGGAGGCGGAGGCTTGGGTTTAGGGTGTAGTAGAAGACCATCCGAGGCCCAACTTGACCCAGCGTATGCCTGAGCAGGTCGGATAGAAAAATTAAAAAACATGAAAACAATGTTATGTTGGTCAGAACTCAGAAGGGAAAATTGTTTTAATGTACCGAGAATACGGTCTGGTACATCAAGTGTAGTAATATAATTTGTAAGAAATTTTGTGTTTCAAGTTTCCAAGCAATTGCATTATTACACATGGTGTACCACAACGTGTTAAAAACATATTAAAAAATCTCTCCTCAAAAGGAAAGAAATACACTATTAGCAGTCGGCGCTCACTCAGTCTGCATATTTTAGCAAAATTGTTGTACACCGTTGGCCCTTTCGTCTCTCTTCGTTCCTTCCTCTAGTGCCCATTTTCTGTTCACACTTCGGTATTCTCTCTCTCATCGATTGAATGTTTCGGTTTCTCTTTGACGCTCCATGAATCAAAGGATTACAAGTGTAGTTCCTTAAAGAACAAAAATTTTAGAAACCACAGTTTTGATCCACAAGACACGCGAGTTCTTACAATCTAGGGATTGGCGTGCGCAAATTTGGTTCCAACATAAAGCTTTTCTCTGTTCACAATTTGGTATTCTCTCTCTCTCATCGATTGAATGTTTCGGTTTCTCTTTGACGCTCCATGAATCAAAGGATTACAAGTGTAGTTCCTTAAAGAACAAAAATTTTAGAAACCACAATTTTGATCCGCAAGACACGCGAGTTCTTACAATCTAGGGACTAGCGTGCACGAATTTGGTTCCAACATAAAGCTTTCCTTTGTTCACACTTTGGTATTCTCTCTCTCTTTCATTGATTGAATGTTTCGATTTCTCTTTGACGCTCCATGAATCAAAGGATTACAAGTGTAGTTCCTTAAAGAACAAAAATTTTAGAAACCACAATTTACAGAGCTAGGGCTAGCCACATGTGTAAGGTTTTGCCCTAACATGTGTTAGCATCTGATTGGCCAAGGTGTGTCATCCATAGGATGGATGAGGAAAGAATTATCCCAAGATATTATTTAGGCTTTTTAGCCAAAATGGTCCCTAAGATTTGCATAACTCCTCGCCTTGGTCCCTGAGATTTGAAATCAATAGAATTGGTCCCTAAATTTGTCCACCATCATTTTGGTCATTTCGTGAAAATCTCCATTAAATCAGAATAAAATGACCAAAATACCCTTAATTTTTGTCAAATCATTTTGGCTCATTGTTTATTAAATTGAGGGTATATTTGTCATTTTTATCCTTATATAACATAATTTTGTATGGAATGACCACTTCTATTGGTTTCAAATCTTAGGGACCAAAGTGATGTGTTATGCAAATCTCATGGACAATTTTTGCTAAAAAGCCTATTATTTATTAAATAATATCTTGGATTTATCTGGTGGAATCCCAATTTGATTGTGATTCCATTCTTGATAGAGTTAGTCTTCATTTGGGCAAGTATAAAGATAGAATTTTGTAATTAATCATATCTTTAATGTCTTTGACTTTAAAGGGGATTTGTTTGGACGAATTTAACTAAAACTAGGTAGGTTGCAGAAACAAAGTGAGGGTGGTACGAAACTAAGGTAACTTAAGGGGTGAAATGCTAGATAAAGGATTCTTCTCCACACATGAAACATATGCATACAAATCGATTTCCAGTTATTATTCCTATAAACTTTGAATGACAATGCCCCAAATTAATCGTGAACTGCATTAATTAACTCTCAGATTTTGCTAATTTCATTGAATTGGACTCAGCGACACAATCAAATTATTCTTATCAAGTTCCCTATATGAACAACATGATAACATGCGAGGAAACTTGATGAGATGGTAGTCAGGGCCCTAGGGATGTTAGATTCTGTGTTATTAAATGTGGGTCTCGCCAATTTAACAAGGGCATTGTTGTATTTTGCTAGTAAAAATTCACGTGTCAACTCCAAAAAATTTCAAATTATTTTTGGCTCCATAATAATTTTCTTTTTGGTTGCTTCGTGAGTATTCTTATACAGACTTTTGCTAGGATTGAGTCTTTGATATGCCCGATTTAATGTGTCGTTGGAACCCACTATTGTGTGATGGATCCCATACAATTATTACTTGAGTTTAGCATGTTACATTTAGGTGTATTAAAGAGTTACTCTCCTGCTAGCACGGAGTTATGAGCCTTACAAGAAAAAGATTTTTCAGTGTGTCGTGAACACAGCACGGTACACCAACTATTATAATGTAAGTGGTTGGATACATAAATAAAATTTACAATAATTTGTATTATGACACTTGGTATACTAGACTATATTTCATGCACACTAAAACAATTCTCCTAATAGTGTTGTCCAAGGTGCTAAGGATTGGACTGTTAAGGGCTAGTTTGGTATTGCTGTACTTTAAAAAAAAACTGCTTCTGCTGTGCTATGAGAATAAGTAGCTGTGAAATAAAGCAGCAGAGTGTTTGGTAAACTTTATTGCTTTTGAAAAGAAAAAAAAAACAGTATTATAGTGTTTAGTAAACTTTTATGTAAAACAGATGTGAAAAAAAAACCGGTTTTTAAAAGCTGGGTTTTGCAGCTTTGTGCTTTTGGCTTTTTTTTTTTACCCAAAACTGTGAAAAAAAAGCTAAAGTTAAATGTTTACCAAACACAAAAAAGCTCCCAACTTTTTCTTATACCCACTTTTTAAAAATCATCTCACTACCAAACCAGGCCTAAGGTTGGAGCCTTTAATATGGCTCTCCCCAATAGAACCAAGTTTGGTAGTACCGGGATTCAGCCAAAATCGTGAAATTGGGAAGGGAAATTCTGTTAAAACCAATTTGTCTCTGGACACTCACAAGTTTTCCATCGACACCTTTTTTTCTCAATATTCTCTTGACACCCAAGATAAT